CCTGCCCCTGCTCACCTGCATAGCTCTGCCAGCTCCCTCCAATCTCCTGGGGGAAGCTCCCTGCCCTCACACCTGCCCTGCTCACCTGTAAAACTCTGCCAGCTTTCCGAACCTCCAGCGCAGCTCCTTGTCCTCCCATCTTCCCTGCTCACCTGCATAGCTCTGCCAGCTCCCGAACTTCTAGGGCAGCTTCCTGCTCTCCACCTCCCCTGCTGACCCCTGCATGGCCCCTCGTCCCTAGAGCTTCTGGCCACTGTATCCCTGTGGCCCTCCTGCTCTCGGAAACCCTCTCCACAGTCTGTGAGCCCCACCCAGGCTGCTGTGTGTCCTTATGGCGGTGCCAGAGCCCTCAGCCCAGTCAGCACCATCTCTGGTCTCACCCCTCTCCTGGTACTGGGCTTTGCTCCCTGTGCCGCCAGCTCCCACCTTTCCCTGGCCAGGTGTCCCCCAAACAACACCTGCTGCACCGTAAACCCCTCCTAGAAGAGCTCCTGGCCCTGCCTATCCATCTCTGCTCACCCCATCACTCCCAGAAACCCACTTTAGAACTTTGCAACTTCTAGCTGCTGGTCAGCTTCCCTGAGCCCACCAGCTATTGCCCAGAGCCCCGGCCCATGCCCCTGGCAGAGCTGCCCGTGGAATCCCGTGCTGTCTGAGCTCTGAGCACGCCCCTCCCATTGTGCGTCTCCTCGGCTGCCCTCAGCCCAGGATCCCACGGTCTCCTCCTCTGAAGCTACCCCTTGGCCTGGACAGGACTCTCAGGTCACCTGGGGTCCTCTTGGTCCCCTGAGCCAGGCCAGGTCCCCTCTGTGTCCTCTCTCAGGACCATTGTCTATCTGGGCAGGTGTCCTGCTTAGCTCTGCTCCAGTCCGGAACCTAGCTCTGTGCTCCCTGCACAGCTGACCAAGCACACACTCACACCTGCCGTCCAGCTCACCGCATTCTTCCAAGACTCAGTTCAGACAGACCACCTGACCTCTGCCAGCCTCCAGTGCATTCAGCCCAGTAGCCTAGACGTGCCCTGCCCATGGGCCAGTGGAGCCTGTGCTCGGCTGGGCCATGGCCAGAGCCCACCTGCACTCTCCATGCTGGCTCAGCTGCTCCAGCCATCTGTGGGGGTCCCCGAGGTCCTGGTCTCCCCTCAGGTCCTGTGGCCAGTTTTGCTGTCCCCACCGCCCTCCGTCTGCCCTGCTGTGTGAACCCCGCTCACCAGGGATGGGGGCCCTGCCCACTCTGGTCCCAGGTGCATGAGGCTCCTCGTGGCTGTGCTGTGTGCCCACAGTCCTGCTTCTTAGGGGTTGGTAACAGGGCCCCACCCCTGAGGTGTGACCCCTCCCTGCAGCCCCACAAAGACTAAGAACGGGATTGAAACTGATGGCATGGCTTGCTTCCTGAGGTTCCCTTTTTTACTGGGTGGTTTCTGTGTCATTCGTCCTGGGGGAGTCCAGACACAGCCGAGGTCACCTCATGTGGGCACGTGGGGGTGGGGCGAGGTGGGGACCTGCGGCCCAGTGAA